CTTTCTTTCTTTCTTTCTTTCTTTCTTTCTTATTAACAGACTATTCTTTCTTTCTTTCTTTCTTTCTTTCTTTCTTTCTTTCTTTCTCATTTGACAAAATTTCTTTCTTTCTTTCTTTCTTTCTTTCTTTCTTTCTTTCTTTCTAGTGTAGTGGTGCTTCTTTCTTTCTTTCTTTCTTTCTTTCTTTCTTTCTTTCTTTCTCTCTCATCTCAGCTTCTTTCTTTCTTTCTTTCTTTCTTTCTTTCTTTCTTTCTTTCTTACATTTTTTTTTTTCTTTCTTTCTTTCTTTCTTTCTTTCTTTCTTTCTTTCTTTCTAGGCTAGTCTTGATTCTTTCTTTCTTTCTTTCTTTCTTTCTTTCTTTCTTTCTTTCTTTGGGAATACAGGTTCTTTCTTTCTTTCTTTCTTTCTTTCTTTCTTTCTTTCTTTCTCTCAGCAAACCAGTTCTTTCTTTCTTTCTTTCTTTCTTTCTTTCTTTCTTTCTTTCTGAACCATTGGGGATTCTTTCTTTCTTTCTTTCTTTCTTTCTTTCTTTCTTTCTTTCTTGAACTGATAGGCTTCTTTCTTTCTTTCTTTCTTTCTTTCTTTCTTTCTTTCTTTCTACGAGACAAAAGTTTCTTTCTTTCTTTCTTTCTTTCTTTCTTTCTTTCTTTCTTTCTGGCAGATTTAATGTTCTTTCTTTCTTTCTTTCTTTCTTTCTTTCTTTCTTTCTTTCTTGTAGAACATTTTTTCTTTCTTTCTTTCTTTCTTTCTTTCTTTCTTTCTTTCTTTCTAAGATACAATATTTTCTTTCTTTCTTTCTTTCTTTCTTTCTTTCTTTCTTTCTTTCTATCAGGAATGGAATTCTTTCTTTCTTTCTTTCTTTCTTTCTTTCTTTCTTTCTTTCTTTTTAGGATATACTTCTTTCTTTCTTTCTTTCTTTCTTTCTTTCTTTCTTTCTTTCTACTATAAATATTGTTCTTTCTTTCTTTCTTTCTTTCTTTCTTTCTTTCTTTCTTTCTATTGGAAGGTGTATTCTTTCTTTCTTTCTTTCTTTCTTTCTTTCTTTCTTTCTTTCTAAATTAAATCCTATTCTTTCTTTCTTTCTTTCTTTCTTTCTTTCTTTCTTTCTTTCTTATATGAAAATGCTTCTTTCTTTCTTTCTTTCTTTCTTTCTTTCTTTCTTTCTTTCTTGAAAGATTTACATTCTTTCTTTCTTTCTTTCTTTCTTTCTTTCTTTCTTTCTTTCTAGTGTGATATTGGTTCTTTCTTTCTTTCTTTCTTTCTTTCTTTCTTTCTTTCTTTCTATAGACTCACAATTTCTTTCTTTCTTTCTTTCTTTCTTTCTTTCTTTCTTTCTTTCTAGAAGCAATCTTTTTCTTTCTTTCTTTCTTTCTTTCTTTCTTTCTTTCTTTCTTTCTAAGAAACCTGATTTTCTTTCTTTCTTTCTTTCTTTCTTTCTTTCTTTCTTTCTTTCTGACGTAACTGTTATTCTTTCTTTCTTTCTTTCTTTCTTTCTTTCTTTCTTTCTTTCTATTTTAATGACCTTTCTTTCTTTCTTTCTTTCTTTCTTTCTTTCTTTCTTTCTTTCTTAGAAAAGATAAATTCTTTCTTTCTTTCTTTCTTTCTTTCTTTCTTTCTTTCTTTCTAGGGCACTATTATTTCTTTCTTTCTTTCTTTCTTTCTTTCTTTCTTTCTTTCTTTCTGACATATATTTAATTCTTTCTTTCTTTCTTTCTTTCTTTCTTTCTTTCTTTCTTTCTTAATAAAAAAGCATTCTTTCTTTCTTTCTTTCTTTCTTTCTTTCTTTCTTTCTTTCTTATACAGGTGACATTCTTTCTTTCTTTCTTTCTTTCTTTCTTTCTTTCTTTCTTTCTATAAGATACCATATTCTTTCTTTCTTTCTTTCTTTCTTTCTTTCTTTCTTTCTTTCTATGTATTTGCAGTTTCTTTCTTTCTTTCTTTCTTTCTTTCTTTCTTTCTTTCTTTCTCAAATGGTACAATTTCTTTCTTTCTTTCTTTCTTTCTTTCTTTCTTTCTTTCTTTCTTATCTATTACATATTCTTTCTTTCTTTCTTTCTTTCTTTCTTTCTTTCTTTCTTTCTAGATGTCTCCACATTCTTTCTTTCTTTCTTTCTTTCTTTCTTTCTTTCTTTCTTTCTCACAGGCTGGAAATTCTTTCTTTCTTTCTTTCTTTCTTTCTTTCTTTCTTTCTTTCTCCAAATCCATATCTTCTTTCTTTCTTTCTTTCTTTCTTTCTTTCTTTCTTTCTTTCTCAACAACATGGATTTCTTTCTTTCTTTCTTTCTTTCTTTCTTTCTTTCTTTCTTTCTAAGAGAGTATATATTCTTTCTTTCTTTCTTTCTTTCTTTCTTTCTTTCTTTCTTTCTCTATAGTGACAGATTCTTTCTTTCTTTCTTTCTTTCTTTCTTTCTTTCTTTCTTTCTGAGGAGAGGGAGATTCTTTCTTTCTTTCTTTCTTTCTTTCTTTCTTTCTTTCTTTCTATGTTCATTGTATTTCTTT